AACATTATGTTAAGCATTGTCGTATTTGGATGAAACTGGGTAACTCGCACTGAAATTCCATCTCCCGTTTCAACCAAAGGGATTTATAATCTCTTTGGAAATTTGAAGTGCTTGTTCAAATATTTCAACCAGTCAAGCGGATGAACCTTATTTACAAGCTTTCGTGTTCTGGTTGGATCACTGAAGAGAAAACGAAGCAAGATGGACATGCTCTTTCCGCATCAAACACAAAATTGTTATTAACGTAATAATTATAATTTACAACGAGTCTCCTAAAAGTGGACATTATTTTCAGCGAAGCATTATGGAGTAAAGGATGACTTGACTCGTGTAAAGATCGTTCAGTTAAGTAACAAGACAGGCAGGTACGCAGCGTTCACGCCTGAATTCCTTTATTCCAGAGCGTCTTACTTCATCAAATCTTGCTCTCTTCCAAACCAAACTCGGTGATGAATTGGGAAAGTTCGCTTTCGAACCAACTTGCTTTGTTCCTAAGAACAGAAAGCGGGCTCACTTAGAACTTCTGACGCTGCAAACTCCAAATGCTAATGTTTACAAACGATGCTCCATTTCTGAGGATGAGGAGGTTGTCTAAGAAGGAGGTAGAGGGTAATCCCCAATCACTACTATACCCTTTCCCTTGAGAAAAGATATTTCCGAAGATGAAATGACGGTCTATAAAGAAGCAAGGAGTAATTCTCACTTCGCAAAATCCTTTCTAAGGAATGCTAGTCTATGATGCCGTGGGTAATCACTTATCCATGCCACCTTGTTCCCTTCGGCGAGGGAGAATGCCAACCCAATGTGAAGAGGGAGGTTATGATACATTTGGTTCAGAGGAAAATCGTTTTCCCTCACCCCACCCCCATTTTACTGTTCATTTCTACCCTTCCCTCCCCAAACCTCAGTTTCCGCTATAGCTGTTGTCATTAATTAATTGCCAATACGTAGGACAGAATTACCTTAATATTTTCGCATCGTTTTCGATTTTCTCAAGCCTTGTTATTTCTTTATATAATTCGATGATGTTTTCATCCAAGTTTTTCTTGGCCCTCTGAACCAGAGACTTAAGCTTCGCGAAGGTTGACGTCAGTTCTCTGAAATGAAATAAAATAAAATGTTTCATTATCTGAAGTAATCAGGGATTTGGCATTGTCATGTATCTTATCGCCAAACCGTTGAAATATCGCGACATCAAAAGCGAACGAGCCGACACACGCACTGTAACAAGATTACATAGCTAAGACCGGAATGAACTTGTGGAATATCCGTCTAACATTTGACTTTAAGCTGATAACACCACATACTACAAACAAGAGGAATTAATTCGCAGTAATCCTCATAACAAGATCAAAATAGCAAACAAGTATGAGAAATTATTCTGCTCGTGTTATTCAGTAAAACCCAAAGACAATTGAAGTGTAAAAGTTCCTCTGCAGAATCAATCCGTTTTCAGGCTGAACAGGCCATTGAATTAACACTTTTAACACCAAAGCATTGTTTTCTTGGAATTGAAATGATAGTATGACAGAGTTGAAGACACTTAAGGCTTTGCATGCTTTGAATAGCATACCGAATGGGTGCAAAATCAAACAGCCATAGACTATTCTGGAATCGTTAAGTTACTACGCTTGTGTCATCCAATTGACACTTCCAGCCTTTCATCATATGGCACCGTTTCAACATTCAGTTTCAAGTCAAGTGAATTTACCCTCTGCTGTGAGCTAGAGAGCTTGAGTTTGAACAAGTCGATGATAGCATTTTGGCAAACACGACAGTCACTTGAGCAGAAAGGTATCAATGGGATAAATGGCTTAACTTTTGGCTTAAAATGGGGCTGTTACGCGGCAGAATCAATTAAGGGGCAAATCATTGTTTGGCACCGAGCGTAAAGCGCGGGAAAATTCGCGTCTGTCGAACGATTTGTAACCTGATTGGTCAAAAGCATGACACCTGGTCTGATTGGCATGGCACCAAGTGTAAACCGCTGGAAAAATTCGCGACTCTCGAACGATTTGCGACCCAATTGGTCAAAAGAATGACACCTTCACTAAATTGAAACAAAAACCGACCACAAGGCTTTGTGGGTAAAAGAAAATCTTACCAACAATCACATCAAAGACGCTTCAAAAATCACATGGCAGCCAAACTTACTGTTAACGTCACGTACAGAATTTGCCTGTGAACTAGTCCCAGTTCTTGCCTTTGCGGAACACGGTTGTGCGGTAGGTACCAAGCTCTACACATTTCGCTGAATCTTAAACCAGATCAAAATTGCCATGGGCTACTGCAGTTCGAAAATAAATTATCTAGGGGCGAGATATCCATCTCACTTCAGTACAACTGTGGCGCGATGGATTGCACTTCACTTCTAAAGCGAAAAGTTTTAGGATCGATTCCAAGTGAAAGAAAATTTTCTTTCTCTTCCATTTTCCTTTATTTCCTAACCTTCTACAACAACCCTTTTTTTCCTAATTTTGTTGGGAACATCATCACTTATTTAAAGTAGTCAGCCACACAACCACCGCCTATTTCTTTCTTTTTCCTAACTTAAAATGGGATGAAGTGAAGGTTTAAGTCATTCCCGAATACAGTTTGTTCATGTTGTGTTTTTCAGCGGTTGAGCATTCGAATGTCTTACAAGAATGAAAGGCTGTAGTGATGGATCATAACAACAACTCAGAAATGGCTTTTAGCCATTTCCCTTGCTTAAATTAGAATTACATTACAAATTTTTAAACGCTTTTCATGTGCTCCTTCGATCTTAACTCTTTTTTGACACAGGTAAATTTTTTCATTCTTCGTTATTCTATTAACAAAGGAGTGTTCTTTCATTCGCCCCCAAAGCGATGGCGATTCTAACATTATGAGGCGCCAAGAGCTTCTTCAAAATCGCTTGCCAGCCAAGAGAGAAGTGAAGCTCGATATGTTCCTGAAAATCAGTGTACAGAATGGGCACATCCAGTTTGTAGCTCGCTTGGAAATTATGACTGCAATAAATAAACACGACAAAGAAATTAGTAACAAGAAAAACGGATGTTATTCCTTTCCCCTCCTAGGTGTTTGCCACCTGATTTCCTAAGCTAGTGGTCCTGACGTCTTATTATACTGAATCACTAGATCATAACCCTTGACCAGCATCAAATTTCTCCTTACAATATCACCACAGAATCAAACATTAAGGTCATGGAATAAAGGAGATGAACCCCAACTAAAGAAGCTCTTGATTGTTTCACAAATTCTCCTTGTCAGCACCTTAAGAAATGTGTGGAGCACAGTATGGAGAATATACATACTGATTTTAGAGCTTAATGGTTTAAGGAAGACAATACTCACGCTGGAGTGCCGGGCTCAAGAGATACCTCTGGTGTTTCAGGCGGAAGAAGACTGCGAAGGCGATCTGAGTAAAAAGAAAAATATATTTATGTATACCTAAGGGACCGGTCATTGGTAGTCATCTGAGGGGGAGGGGGTGGTGGGGTTGAGGATGTCGGTTGTGTCATGATAAAGTTTACTAGATCCCCTCATAAGGCCCCGTGATATTTTCATGATTTCCCCCACCTCCTCTTTGGTAGTAAATTGGCAGTCAACTCCCTAAATTGGCAGTCAATTCCCCACAGTCCCACTTTATAGTCTGTCGGCGACGACTGACCCCCTCCTTTCTACCCTGAAAGCATTGTAATCCTCCACTAAATCCTCCCCCACCAGCCTACCACATCAGCGGACGAGGGAGAGAGGAAAAAAAAGGCTATTCATACTCGATACCATGGGCACAAGCACGCTCCATTTTTTTTAAGAGAAGCCGCTCCATACAATCATCACCCTCTCCATCTTTAAAGTCAGTCATTATTATAAGAATCCTATTCTGACTAAGACCATAATTAAAATATACGGATATACTGGAACATTTGATAACTTTTAGAAACGTGACTGATTATGTATAATTGAAATTATCAAGACTCTGCTCCTCTCTGAACTCTATTGGCAAGGAGTTCCAGAGACGAGCGGCAGTAGCAGTAAATGCACGATCCCCAAGAGTTGGAAAGGTTCTTATAGCTAATGGTGTTAGCAGGTTTGTTTTATTAAAATCGTAGACTACAACCACAAACAGTGCAAAACCTTCTACCTTTCGTTTATGCAGTTTACACATTTTGTCAAACGCCAACTTACAGTTCCAAGAAATACTTCCCTTATAAGCTAGAATTGGATCTCGATTCTCGGGTTGATTCACGCGCATGCCATAGACGCCAAACCAATATAGCTCATTCCTTGGGACGTTCTTATATCGAAGCGGTCAACATAAATCATAACATAAAGAAATTACCTAAGTATTGTGCGATCATAGCTTAAAAATTAATCTCAGTTTTGAAAAAAGCACGTGGCAATTAAAAGAACCAAAAAGGAAGGTAAAAACCAGCAATAAGTTTCGCTTTGAGTCGTAACTACTCGTAAAATAATCACAAAGTAAGCTGTAACTTACCAACGTTCGCGGGTCTTTATTACTTTATCAAGAATATCGGTCTAAACTAGTCTGCTAGTCAAAAAAACGGTCTTGATCACAGGGGGTCTTATTCTAGTGTAAAACGCTCACTTTTTTTATATCTTCTTTCGTCAAACGAAGATAACATTTAGATTTAACGGAAGCGGTTACTGATCCCTCTCAGAAGAATCGCTCGCCTCTCTTCACAAATTCACTTTCTTGAAATGCACTAATATAAATCAATATGAATTGAATTTGTTGCTTCACCTAATGAATATCTTCGTCAACGTCAAGTGTAAATTCAATCACCTAAGGCATCCTCCTGCAAATCAGTTCTATCACATCCCTCACTGAAAGCAGAGATGACCATACTCGTACAACGATATCTAAGTTCTCATGAGCCTTATTTTAAATTACTGTTCGAATGAACAGATACTATCAGACACTAAAGGAAATTTTCAACTCGGTTGTTTGCAGTGGACGTTTTTTATTGACTGAAAGAATATGAGCAATACGTCAGACCAAACAGTGGATGATGGCAAATGGGGCAGCAGCGGCTGAAAGAAAAATGAGTAGAATAAGATTAATCCTAAATAGATTTTAAGGAAATAGTGAAGCAGGCGTGGAGAATTTTAAACCAAACTATGACTTATACGTTTTTTTATCTTTAGAACTAAGTAAAGCACTGTAATTTCTGTTTCATTGAGGTGCTCTTGGCCACAAAATCTAACAAAGTGGCTGGGCATCAAAAAGTGCAATAAAAAAATCATCTTATACAGGGTAGCAACACTTATTACTATAGATGTGCGGACTTTTTGGGTGTACTTACACGCCATTCTGTATTATTGCAATAGCACACTCTCTGTGAACCTTGTGTGAGCATGGCAGGATCTGATAACCACTGAGCGCGTCCTGAAGTTAAGGGCGAAAAAGAGATTTTATTTATCATTCAATGGACTCACATGAAATCATTACGCCGATGGAGTCATGAAAAAAAACTGTTGTTCGTAACAGCGACTGGTGTACAGATAAACGGAACGGACGTCAGAGGCGACGGAACGGTTAGTTCTTTGATTGGATCATCTCAAAAAGGGATGAAAAGGAAAAGTTGAGTCTATCAATGAGTGTTAACATTTAAATTGTATCATCTCAAAAAGTAGTTCCTCTAAGAAAGGAAATACGATGGTACGATGGCCTGTTACTCAGAAAAGAAACTGCTAAATCGATCCACCGGTGCTTGAAGTACTTTAAGTGTGTTAGTAATAATTTTATGGCCCTGCCATTTGATTCGATCGCTACACTTATATCTAAACCATACCCACAACGTTTAACGAATTTATTTTGCTTTACTCATTGATTAGCCTTCCAGCCTACATGACACCAATAAAGTGACTCTCAAATACGTCTATCAATCGTGCTTTACAGCAGTTACTAAAATCAGGGCCTTTGATCTCAGCCATTACCTCCAAACAGATGCAACATTCATCTTGTCCTGACTGTGGAATGCATTTGGGTTTTCCTTGAAGCCATTTGTTCAGACAAACATTACATTTGGAGATGTCGTGATGCAAAAGGTTATCCTTCAAAATTCTAAAGGAAGAATGATGTAGTTAAAAATCCCATATTTCCTAAGGGTTTGATTAATGAACAAACGGATGAATTAACGTTTAGCATGAGCCGGACTGATTAAACTTATTCATCCAAAGGAGACAAAAGAGCGCGCATATTACAGTAGTCAGTCTACTTGTACTTACCTCTGTCTTCCAGAACCCTCGCCTCTTAGATTCTAGGATGAAAAAAACACGCTTGTTAACATCCATAAAATTTTGATAAGCGAGTAATAGCTCTGTCAATTCTAACTTTGAATGGCATATATTTTACACATGAAACGCTCCTATTTTAGTCACCCGTGTACGGAAAATATGACATGGCGGCTATCAAGAGGTGTGGATCAATTCTTGAGCAAAATATTTTCCATTATGCCAATCGCGATGCTTAAGGAACTGTCATTACGAATCGCCAAGGCGATGGAGGGGGAGGGGCAGGGGATTTTGGATGTGTAGAAATAAAATGTACTTGATTCCCCTCCACCCCCAGTTCTTTCCAGTATTCTAATGATTCCCCCCTCCCTACCCTTCAGTCTGAAAACAACGTGATCGCCCTCTCCCCCCCCCCAAAAAAAACTCCTCCGACCCCTTCCCTCCAGGCGTTGAGTAATGACAGGGCCCTTAGTTAACTTACCTCCTCACACTGCTCGCTTAAGTTACACAGAAGTGCAGGAAATGGCCGCTGAGGCCACATGCTAACTTCCGGGAGCTGTCTTGCCTCCCCTCCTCTCTTCTTCAGTGTTCTTTCCGAAAGAACAGCTCCGGTTCGTATTTCATGCTCTTGTCTTTCAATTTCCCGATCAAACCCTTGTCTCTCCCTTGACACTCTTTCCAACAAGGTGCACGCTTCATCCACGCGTTGTCCCAATTCATCAAGCACAAAGCTGCTATGGCTTCTGTTCGTCACTGAGCCACCAGATTGACCAGAACGTTGATCAAAATTTTCTACTGCGTTGGTAAAAACACTGTTTCTTTCTCTATTAACGCCAGGAAAAAATTACTTCTTCAGTACATTACATTACTTGCAGAGTTCCTCTTTTAAAATTTACCCATAATGTAGCTATTTGACCTGACTGGTGCCAACAGAAAACTTTTGTCCTTTTTTGAATCACAAAATCAAACACTTTGAAAATTGCAGAAATGACATCTTAAAATCTAGGTTTAAGCAGCAACAATATCAATTGTGGCACCAACTTTGCTGAATGGTGAGCACTATTACCAATGAGTGAGCCTAGTAGAGGGTCTCAATGGGGTGATGGCTTTTACGGCTAACGGTTAAAATTTTGGCCAATTTACGGCTAACAGTTAACACCTTTCCATTGTTTCCACTAGACATATTGTTTGCGTTAAACTTTTTTTACGACTAACGGTTAAAATTTGTCAATTTTTACGCCTAACGGCTAAATTTTTTGGCCGTTTTACGGCCAACGGTTATACCCATTAAGACCCTCTTAGTAGGGCTATAAACTTACAAGTATCTCTGTCTGTCACATCTTCCGCATATGGTGTCTCCTACAAACTAAAATAAGGGGAAAAAAAAGGTGAAACTAAGAAATTTTAAAAGGGGTGCATGTGAAAATAAGTGATGATGGGCGAAACTGCAGGGAACTAGAGTTTAGAAAATGGGATCAATAGGAGTTCTATTTTTTTCAGTTCCCTATCACTCACAGTTTCTTTCTTTCTCATTTTTCAATTTGTATTTTTTTTCTTTTTCTAAATGCCATCGTTGGTCTCTTGAGTCATTTCATTCGGATGTAAAAGAACCTGCCACAACTTTCCCTGAGCAGGGGCAAGGAAAGACGACTTACTGATAAATTAACATGGAAAAAAACAAAATATGTTAATCACCTCATCAAGGCGGCATGAGCACCAAGGTCCAGGAACTGCCTCTTGCCATTCTCTCCGTCCTCTAGATCTTCTTATTTCCCTTCTCTCTCTTTCTATCATTTCTCTTTTTCTTCTCATTCTAATCTGTGTTTCTCTCCTGTCCTGGTCCGTTTGAAGTTGTTCCCGCTCCAGTTCACGCTGTTCTCTTTCGCGCATTCCCCTGTTCATTTGGACCGTTGCTCTGGCTACTCCTTGCACCAAAGCAAGAGGACTGTTGTTTGTGGACTCTAAAGACTCCACATTCCAAGGTCTTATGTTCAGTGGAGGGAAGGGAAACAAAGTGAAAGCTTGAGAGTTCGTTGGGAAGACTTCGGCCGAAGGGGAACCAGCTGCAGACGAGTCGGCAATCTGAAGAAATGAAACGAAATAAGATAATTTTCAAAATTGTTTATTAAATGGCTAGCTCTTTGAGCGGGCGATATAGACTCATTTTACTCGCTTGGAATGCTCGTTTGATGCCTCATAAATCTATGAGCTGTTTCTATTTTAAGTAAACAAAAATTGGCTATTAGTATTTCTTCTTTTAAGATATCGCAAAACATCAATAGGGGAAGTCGCGACAACGAAAACAACAAATATTTTCGTGAGATCATTTTGTAATTCTTTATAACATATTTTTTTCATATACGGAATCAATTTTTGACGAAGCTTGTGCGACCAAATTTTCTGAATCAATCGGTCTCATAGTTTTTTTCTAGTTTTAACATGTTTAATGTCGTAGTCAATAGAAGCGGCGATCTCAGCCTCAATTTTGGTGAATTGTCTTTAAAACACCCACCTTCCCCCAGTCGGCCGACTACGTAGTCCCAGACAAGCAATATCAGTTCCCCCCTCCTTATTTTTAAGGCTATACTGTATTCAATGTTTCTTACCTCTGCCCCCATCCCTGTGCGTTGGTCATGACTGAGGCCATTTTGATTACGAGAAAGCAGTTCCAAGCGTAAGGTAGGGTCTGTAGTGTGTCTGGCCACGAAGGAGTCGGTCAAACCGTAAGCTTCGTTCTCCATGATACATGTGTTTACAACTTAAGGAAACTAATGCTGTACAAACAGAAAGCAGAGTAGGAAAAATTAAAAGTGACTGTATGTAGTTTACCGGCTACATTCAGTACACTCGGTTTCAGTACACTCGACCGGCGTCCAAAAAAACGATTTTGGAGAGAGATTATCGCTTTTTCGCCGCTGTTTTATCAGAAATTGATTTGGGTAATATTGACATAGGGGAAGCGTACGTTTTCTAGTAAAATCTACCGATTAACTTTCTCTGTCCGCAAGGTGTATTTCTAGCTTTTTTCTTGGTTGGTAAAAAAGCGCTACAACAGCTACCTCGAGGCAGCTAGAGATTGTAATGGTGTGCTTGACCATTAAATATTATCGTGATACATTAGAGTGATTACACATTACTTCTTTTTTGTGACCAATAAAAACGAACCAGCTCGATAATCGGCTAAAAAGTGAAACCTTTCTTCGGCGACGATAAGAAGGTACAAACAAGTCGCTTAAGGAACGATGCACAACTGAATTTATGCCCACAGTTTCTGCCGGAGTTCCCGTTATCTTACTTTTGCTGACAAGATCCTCCAAAGCGGAGTTCGAGGAGAAAAGTTGCAGCAAAAAATTTTCTTATTTAATACGTTAACAAGTGTAAAAACAGGCTGTACATACATATATACAACCGAAAAGACATACATGAATTACTTCCTGGTGATTTAGGGCTAATTTTGTAACATTTTGAGACCATCGGTATATTTTATAACATATTTCGCGGTGATTTTAACAAAAACGTACACTCTCTTCGCATCAACATCGCTATTAATCATTTGTGATAAAACTGCGGCGGAAAAGCGTTGATTTCTCCCCAAATAGTTTTTTTTTTATCTCAAAACAACCTTTCACCATACATTCCTTCCTGGCGAGTTGCAATGTTCCCACCGCGGCGATCCCAGCAATCTTTGCTCCAGGATCCGATCACTGGAAACTCATTCATTGCCTCCACTCTCAACTGTGATTACTTCCCTTGCTAAACAATTGAGATTCGAGATGTAAAACCGGTCATAAATTGTAAAGGGGGTTTGTGATTAAAGAACTTTTTCTACTTGTCTTCGTTTACTTTTTCGCAGCCCAACACATGTAGTTAGCTGTGTTCGCAGCGGCGCTTCACTTCACTCCTTAATGATCGCTTTAAAGTACCTTACTTCCTTAGCATTAAGCCAATTATGTGCTGCCGGTACAGGGTGCAAAAAAGCTCCGTTATAGATTTCTTTACCGGACAATATTATTGGAAAAGAAAAAAAAAAAAAAAAAGGCAAAACAAAACAAGTTCTGCTGCACTTTGTGATCGACGAGTGTTCTCATCACGGTTGGAGCGTGCTGTTGTCGGCGTCGACAAAATCTGGATCGGACCAGATCGGATCACGGACCGGATCACGAATTGAATCACGGACCGGATCAAGGACTGGATCACAGATCGGATCATGTCAGTTGAAAATAGAAATTTTGCGTAACAAGCCAAAATAGTGACAAGCCAAAAGTCTGCGTGACATGATGAAGCGCAGGCCCCACTGGAATTTTTCTTCAGCCCAAAACCCCATCACTTTCACAGCTATATCGAGGAGTGTTGTGAAGTACCACCATGAACGAAGGCAAGCGAGATGTATGTATCATTTCATAGTTAAGAAAAACGCGACACAATCCAGGTCCTTGAGCTTCTTCCGTTACCGGCGCATGAGGTACGTTGGAAGCTATAATTCACAAACTGATCGACCTAAGTCCTCCACATTGCAACGGATTCCTACGATATTTAACCAACGAGAAGTTATTTCTGTGACATTTGATTTGTCACGCATTCCTTTCAATAATATTCGCGTTTCGCGGCTGTTGCAGTTCAGTGGAGGCGCTAAATTGCCGCTCAGATCAAAGGCAAACCGGAAAAAATTTAAAAACAAGTTTGTATTTCTGACGAAAACCGAAAACCGAAAATCAAATGCTAAACCGCGTAAAATCCGCAAACCGAAATGTTCACAAGTTCGCAAGAAGGAAGCTGAAACAGGAGAGGAGATTTTAAAGTCACATGTCGCGTGCTTCATATCAAACTCTTTCCCCAGTGCGACGAACATTTGTTTTTCTCGGTTCCAGGTGTACGCAACCACTAACCCCACGTAATGCGCATGCTCTCCGTTACGAATTTTCAAAATGGCGGACAGGCCAAAGAGGGAAATTAAAAAAACAAAGCGATTTTGCAATGAATACTCAACATACACCCTCGTTAGAAAGGCGAATCCACGGAAGAAAGATACAAAACTGTATGATATTGAGATCGATATGATATTAAATCGATACCGAGGGCCCGTTTCCAACTTGCTAAGAAGTGCATTTAATTGCCTTCCGCCACGATCACTAGCTTTCTTGACAGCTTTCTGAAGACAGAATAATTTCTTTCTGAAGACTTCTGATATGCGGCTATTGATTATTATACCTCGTATACCTGATTGCTCAAACACTTTGTTTACGATTTTTGAAAAGACCGACTCATGGTTCTCCGTCTTCGTCTTTACATTGCTTTAAAATAGTATAGATTAGTAAGCTGAAACGAAAAATTAATCAGGGAAGTTTACGAAAAATCCAGCAAACAAGCTTAAAAAAGGCATTTATTTAGACTTCATACTTCAACGAACTTCACAAATCTTACTTGTTTATCTTGAAAGTAAACGATGGCAGATTAATTCCCGAAGTGCTTTTTGAGTTTCCCGATCCCTCTCCTACTGCTTTCACGCTTACAAAACAGGAAAAAATCAAAAGGAGGAAGATACAGCTGTTTTGAAACGCCATTTGACGAGGGTAAATCTTCTTTTTGTTCGACACTTTACATATCAAAACAAAGGAAATTTGTTTCTCTTTTTGATTCTGGCGGTACATTTTTAATTTACGCCTGCGTAAAAGAGATATCGCCCGAGACCCTTCGCTCGGTTGTGTTTTGATCAAAAACGCCTTGTAAAATTTCACGCAACCGCTCGGAGAAAAGGTAAAAATGACGAGGGAAAACTTTACCTTCAAGTTAGAAAATTAGCGAAATAGAAAGCCACAATATTATAGTTTAATATTTCAGAGGTACATTGAGTGCTTTTTCCGTAGAGAATCCGCAAGATGGTAAAACATTCGAAAATTACACTCGATTTGAGTGGGGTGTTGAAGTGGGCGTGGTCACTACATTCATGTTAAGACTATTTGTACCCCATGAGTTTGATATGTTGACGTACAAACAAGTTCGGCTTTTCCAGACCGTGGATGACGGGAAACTCAACCCCCCTCACTTGAAAGGAAATATCAATAGCCCCATAAAATTTATTAACTGCGCCATGTTTCCAGACAATGAAACTGGAAAAATTTTTATCACTTTCCACCATCGAGAAATTCCACGCAGAAATAGTATTTGTAACGTGACTGCGTAATCTTTCTTGAGAAGTAAAAATTGTTTATCTACTTTTTCGAGAAAACACTTTTAGAAAGTTCTCAAACCTTCTATTATTTTATTTGCCTTTTTTTAACTCTAATTATCGTCTTAGTTTGCCATTATTTTCGCTGATTGTCATGGCCTTTCCTGCATGCACGCGCGAGCCAGTTGATACACAGCACTCTTTCGAGTTTCTTTGCTTGGTGTCAGGCTCAGGTGTGTAAGTCTGGCTCAAAAGATCTGAACGCTGCAAAATGGAAAGCAACACGGGTTCCCATGTTTTCTCTATTTATATTTCATTCTCTTCAAGTTCTTGCATTATCATACATGTATGATTTGGAAGTAGGCCATGAAAAGTCAATCTTTACCAGAACTGAAACCTTCTCCATCACTATTTGTTTCAAAGAACCCCTGTTATATTATACACAGTATCTGTGCTGATTTTACACCGCAAAGACTTCTCTTCTTCCGCCATTACACAATGCCGTCAGCTCATCAGTCATGACAACGCGCATGCGGCAGAGTTAACGTCTCGCATGCGTGTTAAGAGTTTGTCCACGAGAGCACCGAGCTGTCGTGCTACATGCCAACTCACCGATTTCAATCAAACTTTGCCAGTTTAAAGGGTCTAAAGAAACGCTACGATTTTCCAATTAATTTTTCTATGGGCAGCCATCACCACCAAAAATACAAGGATGTCAAATAGATCAGCAAATACAAAGATGGTGTAAGGATCAGCTGCAGGATAGCATAGCTAATAAAGGAATGGCATGGCCAAATTATAGACAGTCTAGTTTTCCTTCGTGAAACAGAACACCCTAAACATGAATAGTTTAGCCAAATGAGAAACGGTCTAGTAGCCCATGTTGAGTTGGAACATGAGATTGTGAAATGGACTAGCTTAATTACGAATAGCTTAGCACTCATTTGCAATACAGTACTCAGACGGTGTAGCGTCAACATCGAAATATTTCAAGTAATACTAAGCAATTAAATGTTCAGATAGAGCGTCTGATGTTTTGCAAAGCTATTCGACCTAACGCTACACTATTTGTGTCTACGCTGTACCATTCTACATTACGCTGAGCCATTTCACGCAACGCTACACCATTTGTGTGTACGCTGTACCATTCGACATTATGCTAAGCCACTTCACGCAACGCTACTCTGTTTGTATGTACGCTGTACCATTCGACATTACGCTAAGCCATTTCACGCAACGCTACACTGTTTGCATGTACGCTGTACCATTCTACATTACGCTGAGCCATTTCACGCAACGCTACACCATTTGTGTGTACGCTGTGCCATTCGGCATTATGCTAAGCCATTTCACGCAACGCTACACCATTTGTGTGTACGCTGTGCCATTCGACATTATGCTAAGCCATTTCACGCAACGCTACACTGTTTGTATGTACGCTGTACCATTCGACATTATGCTAAGCCACTTCACGCAACGCTACGCTGTTTGTATGTACGCTGTACCATTCGACATTACGCTAAGCCATTTCACGCAACGCTACACTGTTTGTATGTACTCTGTACCATTCGACAT